CACTCCGACTTCGAAGGAAGCTCCCAGTTAATCGACTCTTAGCACATGCTTGTTGGAGAGGCAGTGTGTCTATTCTTGTTTCCCCCCACAATGCGAGCCCCGGAACCCACAGAAAGAAATAATAATAATAATAATAATAATAATAATAATAATAAATAATAATAATAATAATAATAACGATAATAATAAAATTAATAATAATAATAATAACAACAACAATAATAATAATAAAACGAATAAGCCTGTGTGTAATTATGAAGCGCTGTGAAGGGCACGGTAGCCCAAAACTGACCCTGTTAGCACGCAACAGCTTTCACAAGATTCTGCTCATTTCCTCTCTGTACATGCCATCTTGTCAAGATGTTTATCATATCCTCTGCGTACATGCCATCTTTTCCAAGACCGAGTAACTTCCAAGCCTAGGGGCTGAAGTATATTCCCAACAACGAAATGCCAAAAAGAAATTTATTGGAGAAAAAAAAAAGGGGAAAAAAAAGGGGGGGGGGGGGGGGGTGTTTTATTTTGGGTTCGTAAGTTGTGTATCCTTTTCATGACGTTGAATAATCAACCCCAGCAATTGTTGGCTGTTGTAGTTTTTCTAGGCGAATTTTACGTACAGTAGTTTGCTATTGCTTACGCAACGGCCAGCTCTCAGTACCATTGTCGAAACCAACGCAAGACAAACCGTTCGCAGCTAGGATCGAACCCGGCACCCCAGCATTACGAATCTCTTCGCAGCGCTAAGCCACAGACGCCGACTAAATTTGGGTACTTCCATTTTAATTCCTTCACACCCCCCCCCAAGAAAAAAATGGTAGATATGTTTAGGGTAGCTATATTTAACACGGGTTAGGGTGAGCAACATGCAAATTATATATATATATATATATATATATATATATATATATATATATATATATATATATATATATATATATATATATATATATATATTTTTTTTTTTAACGGAAAAAGATACCTTAATGTCGCGTCATGTGTTTGGACTCTCTCCGGAATTCCCAGATGTCCTTTGTTTGGGTGTGAAATAAAACGGAAGTACCTAAATTTGTATCCCAAGAGGATGATATGAATATGTCTCAGAAGATAGCAACAGGCAGTATGCGCTATGAATGGGTAGAAAGCATTCGAAAATCGCACTCAACCTTCCTCACCTGTATCTACACACTGGGTCATGCGGGCCTAAAGAAAAATAAGTGAATGGACTAACTGGCAAGAATTGCTTGCACTAAAGATTACGGGAAAAGGCACGGACAGAGCAGATAGCGTCAACGCTGTACGGACTGGGCTAGTGGATAATGAGGAATCCCTGACACTAACACGATTGCATGACATGGGAGTAAAGCATGGTGAAGCACGTCAATGCCGTCTTCGAGGCTGAGATAAGAGACAAATTAACCAGCTTCTCATGGGAACATTTAGTAGAAGTACTTTGGAGTGGCTTCTATATCGGAGGACTGAGCACGCATGGAAATGCCCAATGTGCAATGACGTCGATTGTGATAACATAACATAACTCCAGTTTCGATAGCCAAGAATCGTCGCTTCTCCCTGCAGTACTTCTTACATGTATGTGCGTCTATATGTGCCTGCCAGAAATAGACTCACAACACAACCTCCCACAAACATTACATACGCTGCTAGAACGCAAAACCAAGCCATATTATAACACCCCCGCAACATAGGAGTGGTCCAGCGACATAGAGAGGCATAAATGGCAAGGGAAGTTGCTCTAATCCCGGGCCTGGAAACGTGAACAGGTCCGCCCAGACACGCTTGGATGCGTGGAAACGGGTCATTTACTTTATATAGCCATACGTTTGAAAAGGGTTTCCAAAATTTGAACTGGTTTGATTCTCGTCTTTGAGCTGAGAGGTGATAATCCTACAGATAGCAATCCTCTTGGGATACAAATTTAGGTACTTCCGTTTTATTTCACCCCCAAACAAAGGACATCTGGGAATTCCGGGGGGAGTCCAAACACATGACGTGACATTAAGGTATCTTTTTCCGTTAAAAAAAAAAAATATATATATATATATAATTTGCATGTTGCTCACCCTAACCTGTGTTAAATATAGCTACCCTGAATATATCTAACATGTTGGGGGGGGGGGGGGGGGAGGGGGTGAAGGAATTAAAATGGAAGTACCCAAATTTAGTCGGCGTCTGTGGTTTAGCGCTGCGAAGAGATTCGTAATGCTGGGGTGCCGGGCTCGATCCTAGCTGCGAACGGCAAAAGCATGGGTGAGCTTTCAAATCAAAATTGCATTCCACATGGCGATGAAATGAGCAAAATATCAGGGTGATTTGTGCCTGTGTTTTGATTAGGAACCCAAAAGAACCAGGATCATTTAAGCGCAAAAATTATGTTTTTTTTTTCTACAGCAAAAGAAACTGCTCGAAAAACACACGATCTACACCCAGATATAATTGACTGAGTATATGGTTTCAGCTTTATTTGTTTTGGCACGTCGTGAACAGAAATAAACTAGCAAATTTAATGAAAACTAGCAAGGGTAAAAAAGCAAAGGGAGACAAATAACTAGATAAGGAGCGCTAGAGCAGGGGAGTTAGGTCACCTTGAAGAAGAAAAAGAAAAAGAAAAAGACGACGAAGAGGGGAGGAGGGGGGGGGGGCGAAGGAGAAGAATAAGGAGAAGAAATAATAATAAAAATAATAAAAATAGAAGAAGAAGAAGAAGAAGAAGAAGAAGAAGAAGAAGAAGAAGAAGAAAAAGAAGAAGAGAAACCATAAAAAAGAAGAGAAGAAGAGAAAAATAAGCAAAAAAAAAAAAAAAAATAATGAAATGAAGAATACTGAGTAAGAGGAGAAGAAGAAGCAGAGGAGCATAAGGAAGAAGAATAAGGGGAGAAGGAAAAGAGGACTAGGTAGAAGAAGATGAAGGAGGAGAATAATATTAATAACAGAAGAGGAAAAGGAAGAAAAAGAAGAAGAAGACGAAGGAGATGGAGAAGTCGGAGGAGGAAAAGGAAAAGAAGAAGAGGAGGAGGAAAAAAGGAGAAAAAAAGAAGAAGAAGGAGGAGGAGAATAATAATATCTAGAAGAAGAAGAAGAAAATAAGAAGAAAAAGAAGAAGACGGAAAAGAAGAAGCTAGGGCGCCTAACTATCCACGGCGAACACTGTTGCGTTCCAAGAGGCTTGAATGATTTAAACCAACGTTACGCCGGGTGATCAAAAGTGACGTTTCTCTGAGATACCACGTCGGGCCCTGGAGTTCCCGTGTAGACCCAGTACCAACACATGTCAATCGCCAGGCAAGTAGGCGGGGCCTCGTCCTAAAATAGCTAGACACCTTTGAGAGGGCCGAAACACGCGGCGCTCCAGGTCCCAGGGGGGAATCCATCCACCAAAACGGGGTTCTCTCACTCGTGAAAGAAGACACACCAGCCCAGCAGACCTCGACAAGGTTCTGCTGAACAATCTTTATTCCTGCATATGTTTGATTTCTCTCTGGGATATGTTTGTGGAACTTTTCAAAACGATGGATTAGTGCAGGATATTTCGCTAGCGTCGTGTTTCACAAGTTAGACTTGGTGGTTCAGTTAGTTTTTGAAACTTTTCAAAGGGGAAGATGAACAAGACAGCAACCGGTTGAACAATTACAAATCGTGTGCCCTCATCGTTCTGCTGGCTATGCAGTCGCCACTTTCGCAAACTTACTTTGAAGCATGTTTGTTGGATTTTATTTGAAGTAAGATGTTTAAAAAAAAATTAAAAATAAATCCTGAAACAAATTGTAAGTGAATAGGGTCGTGCTTCATTACTTAGTTTTGTGTAGTTTTAAAACTTTTAAAGGGAAAGGAAAGATAGCGATCGGTTGAACAATTCACGTTCTCCTCGTTCCGCTGCGTTATAATACACCCACTTTTGCAAACTTTTAGGCATGTTTGATGGAATGTATATAAGTATATAAAAAAAGTAGTCAGAAAACTTAAACAAAATGTTGATAATGGATCAAATTATGGAATAAGGTCGTTTTTCATAAATGTGTTTATTTGGCTTGTAGATGTGCAAAGTTTAAGAAGGAAACGTTCCCGAAGGAAGAAGGGCCAGTTGAGGCAGCAGCAGAAGTGGACTCGGTTACCCGGAGATAAGGATTTTGAAATAGCGTGCGTCGCTTTCGGTCGACCTCGTTTCTTTTCTTCGGGCTTTGGGCAGCAGAATACCTCTTTGTTGATTCTTTTCTTTACTTTGGGATAACGGATTTCGGATATTGAAGAGCCGGTTGTTGATAAATAAACGTGTAAGGTTTATTTAAAGTAGTGATGCAGTTTTGTGAAGGCATTCTCTGATGGATGTTTGTATATCTGAGATCACTGAAATAAAAGTTTGGCAAGGAAGTCGTAGTAGTTAGTATATTTGAGGCACGCTCGTCTTATCTTTCTGAATTTTTCGCGTCAAAGAAACCAATTTTACTAGTTTGTAAATGTTAAATCATTTTTAAATGTTATGGTTAGGCAATCTTAAGCGAAACAAGTTTCATCAACTTTAGTTTACTTTAGCTAGCTTGTGTGGAGAGATGTACCCCTAACAACAGTAAATCCCTTACTTGTTGAGTAGTGTAGTACTAGTAGTAACTAGTACAAATTCAGATTAAGTTTTAATTTGTACATACTTGAGAAATATTTCAACAGTATTGAATTGTTTAACATGTCTTTTCATTATTGTATTTGCAGTGAAAACAAAATCCATATAGTAGGAATGGATATCCCTATTCACAATATACATTTTCCTGGAATGTGAAAATTGTATTTCCAACGTCATTTCAATTCAGCAGTTATATTATCATCTTCTAAGAAACATTGTTTTTTCTATTTTCTACATCCTTTGAAATTCCGAATGATTCATCGCCTGCAGCTGTACTAGTGTAGTTCTAATATTCTGGTTCATTTTTTGAGACCACCACATCTGATTGGGAAACAGTCATTAGATTACATCTGTCAAGGAGCTGAACACAATGGCTACAGGTGGTTTATCACCATCGCCTGTCACAGAACCAGTAAAAAGGCGTGCAGCACCAAGAACAAACTATCATTTGATTAGCGAGGATCCAACAATTAGGGTAAGTCGTCATCATCACCACATAAAAACCATTCCTTTACTCCTCCACCACCTCATGGGTTTTGTATATTTTCCCCTCACCTACTTTCTGATTTCTTCTGCTTGTCTCCTTGCCATATGAACTGGTATAGACATTTATATCCAAGAAAGTGACTAGGGGTGATCACAGAAAGTTTGCATTATTCAGTCTTTAGAACTAGAACCTTGTACATATATATATATACACACACACATGCATTTATATATAAAACAAATTGTCTTGTTACTGTTACATCAGATCAGCATAGTTTAAAGTTGAAGAGCATCTGTCTGAAAGGCAAGGTACCAAAAGTCTGCTTACAGATCTGTTAAATGGATTCCCCATGTGGCTTTCATATCCCCATTTTGTGTGGAAAACCAGACACAATAATGCTATTAAGTATGTCTTTGGAGTCGAGTCAATGGGTGCATCCTTCGAAGGAACCAACAGTTTTCATAGACAAGCTGAATGTGTGAAATAGATGTACACACAACACTCAGGTTCTGGAGCAAGACTGCTATCAGAAGTGGACATAATCTGACCACTTACTTGACCGGCATGGACAGGTCATTATTCTCCGCTTCAGGACAAGACATAACAAACTTAACAAGCATATGCACCAGCTTCCTCTAAGAAGTTCACATTGTGGGTTATGTAGGCAGAGTACAGAACATGTCCTGCAAGAATTTCCCTTGTTCAGCCCATTAAAAAGAGAATACTGGCCCACTGAGTCAACACTGCACTCAAAACTGTATGGAACTAAAAGGGAACTCCTAAAAAGTTTATCACAATAGCCTGTCTGTTGGTGTAAATCAAAAAGCAAACACAATAATAAGAAGGAACAAGACTTAAGTAAGTCTTGAAGTGGTCACACAACAAGAATTTTCCATCAGAATTTACAGCTGGTGAATGCGAAGAAGAAACCTCTTAGAAAGTAATACAAACACTCCTGATGTTTCTCAGTGGCATCTTCCATCTTTTTTCCTGAAAAACTTTTGGGAACTGAAAGCTTGTCTTGGTCTTAATCACAATGTTGGTTGTGATGTGCCTGTTTGTCCGGTAGATCTTGCATTTTCTTGAGATGGAAACCAGATTTATTCGTTCATTTTATAAATTATATCTTTCTCGTCATTAAACTACTGGAACAGTCAACGCTTCTTTAAGTCTATGCCGTGTGAGGTTGGTAATCATGTATGTCCACAACCTTTTGTCTCGTGTACTTTTAGTCAACTGTCCAGCATGTTTTCTATTGGTCTCCCTCTGCTTCTCATCCCCTCCAACTTTCCTACTGTCAGAATGTACCCCAGTTTTCTCCTCATCACATGACCAAAGAATGAAAATTGTCTCTTTCTGATGTGGGCAATCACTTCTCCTTATTAGTGAGATTCTTTCAGGACATCCTAATTATTCTTTTTATCTGTTCAGGGCATTCTCATCATTTATCTATAAAGTTTTCAAATAATCTACTAACTGTCCGTGATTAACTTCCATATATATGGACAGGATTTATATAGCTTTTAAAAATGCTCCTTCTCCTCTCAATTAGGAAACTGTCAACACTATACCCAGTTTATTGACAGAGGCAGAACATCTTTCGTTATCCCAGTAAGTCATGACATGGATTCTTCAGTCATTCATTTCTCTATATTTTTGGTTAGACACTCTTTAAGAACTTCTCTTAATGTCTAAAACACCAAAACTTTAGGTTAAGCACAAATCGAACCCTCCACAAGGGTTCCAGCACTATTTTGGGATAAAAAAGATCAAACCGACTGCCACCTAAGAGGCATGTCGCATAAGGCAAGTTATTGAGAGTTTTTCCTTTGAAGTCTGAGTGCGTCTGCCTGAGAGGCAAGGAACTAACAATCTGCACACAAATAAGCCAGATCTGTGAAATAGATGTACATGCTGAACTGAAGTTCTGGAAAAAGACCGTATTTGACATTAACAATAAATTGTTACTTTACTTAGTCTCTCCTCTTCTATCTTGGGGTGTAGAGGTTTGCTAGAGAGACCGCCAGACGTCTCTATAAGCAGTTTTCTTTTCTGGCTTTGTTCCATTCCAGTCCTCTGTCAGTTAGGGACTGTCGGATGTTGTGTTCCTAGTGGACTCTAGTAAGTTAGTCGACAGACTAGCCTCATTGCACGTCTAACCACTCAGTTCATAAGTGCTCGGATCCTCTCCTCTGTAAATACCGCAACGTGTAGCTCCTAACGACACCGGTTCTTTGTTGGTTTATTCTTCTTCTTCGATTACCCGTGTAATGTTCTCGTTTGGCATCACCCTGTTTAACATGTTTTTCTTGCAGTCTGACCATGGTTGCAGATTCACAGTTCTCAGTTGGTTCACGCAAACATCTTCACTATCTTAGAACATTCAGTATATTAGCCTGGTCCATGGCTTGTCCGGCTTTCACGGTGACCTTACCTGCAAGCCTATCAGCTTTCTCATTTCCTTGTACCCCCATATGTCCTGGCACGAAAATCAGACTAGTCCTTGTCAACCAGGAATTATGTAGAGCCACCAACTACTGCCTTCTGACCCAGCCCTTCTCTATCTTCCTGAGCATACTCATCGAGTCACTGAGAAAGCATGCCCCAGTGAAAGTCTTGTGTCTTCAGCCGTGTTACTGCTTTAATCACAGCCATGGTTTCCATAGTCAGTTACCCCATAGTAGTTACTGCAAAAGCTCCAAAATCTTCCATCACAACTCTCCCTCCAACCAGAGCCATGAAAGCCCACAAGCTTCTAACATGGAAGATTATAGAATCACCTGTGGAAGTGACTCTAAAGCGTTCTCAAAAATCAAGGCTTGAACTTCTACAGCAGCCGGACTCTGTTGTCTGCATTTTCTGTCTAGTTGGATGCAAACAGCAAAAGATGTACATCACTTTAAAGGCACTTGCACCCACTCCTCGCCACGTTCTATGTCCTTAAGTGAACATACCTGTAAATTAATGTCCTCGATTCGACCCATCCACATTTTGACTCTTTTAAACCTGCTGCCTTTTATCTTCTTGATTTGACTATGTAATGGATGTTGTGTGTCCACCTTGACTGTGAGGTAGGCACGAGGTCGCGAAATTAGTATTCTGTCTTCCATGGTTAGAAAATCGAGAAGGTAGCGCATAGCCCTGCATGCTGTATCTCTTGTACACCCAAGTATAATGTGCATAGCCTCGTTCTGAATCCTTTCCATCTGTTTACGGCTGAGAGTCAGCATCGCCATCGCGTATTCAAAAACAGAAAGTACCAGACCCTAGTATAGAAGACATTGATGACGCTGCTCACAGTTTGCTGCCCCCATCACTCTCATCGCAGGCAGAAAAAATGCCTGCAGAAGTCAGAAAGGCCGAAAGGCAAAAATATGGCAGCCATATTGTAAATTGGCACAACACATTTAAGTTTTTGGGTGAATGCATAATAAGAGGAGGAGAAAGACTTTTTCACCATGGAGACCTCAGTCAATCCTCTTAATCTTATTTGTCATACCTGTGTATTCCAATTCCAGTTGTCCAACAAAAATTCAAAATGTGATCCTTCTTCAGCTGCCCGGAGGCCTGCTATATGAAGGAAGGTTCCCTGGCTGTCTATTTGATTTTCAATTATTTGTGGTGTGTAGTCACACCTGATATTCCGGTCCTTTGCTTCCTGAGTCCGGTGTGGTGCTTGGGTTTTTTTTGATCTGGTCTGGTCCAGTTCTCTTAGTGCTATCTGTGGGTTTTAGCTGATTGTTGCTGGTGCTTGGTTTGCCTCGTGCTGATCGCTGTGCTGGTGCCCTATTGCTGCTTGGTTGCCATTCTTTAAAGCCGCCGGGAAAAGCCAAACAAACACCAGGTGACAACGTCTCCAACAATACTCCTTTTCAGGACAGCCACGGCCATCACAATCTGTTGTTGTGATCAGCCTGTATCAGTCAGATCAGTTGAACAAATGTCCACGCAAAGCTTAAGGTCTGGAAAAAGACCAAAGTCTAGAAGTGAACAAACAGCCATAACTTTCCTCCAGGGTTAGTAGCCGGTAAACATGAGGAAAAAAAGAAAGAGCACCAATACTCTGATCCACTCGATGGAAGAAAAAGTAACTGCTTGCGTAACATCATACAGCTAGTAATTTCAAGAAGCTAACATCTAGCATGAGGGTGGAGGCGGTAACTGTTGCTCTTCAGTGGCTAGAGAACAAGATGCAAACATATGTCATTATTGTAGCAGACTCTAAAAGCATGCTGAGAAAGGTGAAGACAAGGCTGCTTCGAAAGTGGCAAGCTTCACTGGGAAGGTCACGGGTAGTGAGCATACTTTGGATCTTTTCTCCAGGCAATGCTGGCATGGTGGGTAATGGAACAGGCAGATTGGCTGAATTTGCACCACTGGGTGGTGAATTAATACATGTCAAGACAGATGTGGTCAAGTCCTTTTGGGAGCAAACCTACGGAATCAGTAGAGAAACAAGATTATTATGGCCTGGAGAGAATGACCCAACTCTCAACCAGAGGGTCTCTCTGACTGTCTCACTACACTCAGAGGAAAGGAAAGACGGACATTTAACCAGATTGTGACCGGTACCATCAGTATTGGAACTCTGGGCAGGCTGCTGAAGATGATGATGAAGCATGCTGGGGAATGCCCGGAGTGCTGTGATGTCAATTTTTGGCTCAGATCAACTCAACTTTCAAGAAGCTAAAGAGATAAATGATTAATGTTAAATAATCTGTTTATCTGTGTCACTCTCAGGATTATACCAGTGCTGTCAATGCCAATGGACACAAGGGTTCTGCTTCTACTGATGCTTCACGAGGCTGCTCTAAATGTGGACAGTGTCCGGGACTGAGTCTTCATTATTGGAGGTAAGTTTGTTACGTGTCCTCCCTGTTTGGTCTATAAGGATACACACTAGGGGCTTCACAGCTTTTTAATCCTTAGGGCCACATCAAGTCTAAATCCATCCAAAAAAGGTTTAATTTTTATTGAAAGAAATAATGTATTTTTGAAATCACAAAAATATATATCATGTAAGGCCATAAATTATGACTGTGTTCTGTGGCCTTATGTTAGGGAAATCAAGAATGGACCCTCTGCCAAAAGCATGTCATAAGAGTCGACTAATTGGGAGCTTCCTTTGAAGTCGGAGTGCATCTGAGAGGCAAGAAACCAACAGTCTGCTTACAAAAAAATCAGATTTATAAAATGGATGTGCATGTAACACTCAGGTTCTGGAACATGACTAAATTCCAGAAGTGGACGAACAACCAGAACTTTCTGCTGGAATGTATAGGTGAAAGATAACTTCAGAGAAAATCTAAAGCACCACGATGTGTCTATGCTCGAGGCAGCCAGAAGAGCACAAAGCAGGACCTTGTATCTTCTTCGACACCCGAAGCGGTAAAAAAGGACGAAGGGAAGAAGAAGCGAAAGAACGAAGAAAAAAAATGTTTTTAACAAAACTGCAATTTGTGAAAAGAAAAACAAAACAGAATTTTGATTAGAACCCTGCGGATTATGAGGCCCGAAGAGGTAGCTTGTTTAACTTATACCGAAATGAAACAATATATTTCCGTTATTCATATATCTGCAAATCTGACACTGCTTGGATTAGTTGTTATGCAAGATTGTCTATGACTTGTGGTGTTTGGCAACTGGTGAGGACTGGACCTGTCTATGACTTGTGGTGCTTGGCACTTGGTGAGGACTGGACCCAAGACTTCTTAGTCAGCAGGCATCTATTTATCTATATTGCTACAGTTGCTTTCTGTGGTCAGTGGAACAAGGCTCATATCATAGTGGCAGTGCTGGATAGGTAATAAGTTCCGTATCTTCTTCTCCACCTCCCTGCCAGTTTGTTTTCCACTGTTTCATACAGCTTAGTTTCCATTGGGATGCCAGCCAGTCAAACCTGGGATCTTTCTGCTGCATGTAGAGAGCATATCTGTAGCATATGTTTGGTATTCTGTGGTGTATGTCCACATGGAAACAGTTCTGAATCCCTAATCTTAAATTTCTTGTAGATATGGCTGCAGTCTTTTGTGTGAAGTTCGCTGTCTAAATACACTGGTCTGCTTCTTTCATATGTGTGGGGGGGGGGGGGGGGGGGGGGGGGGAGTTGATTGTATTCTGAATGGCAAGTGTTCCAAAGGATTCTAATGGCTGCATTGATCTGAGTTGTATGTAAGTTCTTTATGATGCTTCCCGCCCGCCCACAATATTGCCGATCTACACACTCACAGAGTTTGCATATTCAATATATGCACCCTGGGTTATCGGGCCAAAATATTTGTCTCATTGTGAATGAGACATTTAAATGTAAGAATAATTGGTTTAGGATAATTCTGTAGCAGATGCTCCATAGGGGCTCTTAGTTTATACATGTTAGTCTTCACACGCACTAGGTCATGGGTTCATTGGATGCGCACCATCTGTTGCCTTGTTACTAGTCCCTGTCCATTCATTGTTTTTAATATCTCTGCCCCTGTGAATGAGGCAAGGCTGTCACAGAGGAAGGGAAATTAGTCTGTTGGTATGCTGTTAATGTCCCTTGAATTTATTGCCCCTTCGTATTAATTTCTCCTCACAAAAATGTCATTATATTACTGCCTGTTCACTTGGATATTGCTGGCTCAAGATTTTACTGTCCACTTAGAAACCAGTTTCCCTCTCGGTATTTGATGTTTAAGCTTTGCGAACTTGCTTGTAATTCTGCTGAGGTGCGGGGTTCGGTTCCAACTGTGGGCGATTTGGCAGCAGTTCTGGGAAGTAAAGGTGGTCAGCGTAATGTTGACCTCATCACCCAAGTGCTGATTAGTCTGCAAAATATAATTCTAGCCCTGTATGCCCAACAAGTTTCAAAGCGCAGAAAAGGGTCCTTCACTTACTTTACTAAATCCAGCACTGAAGAGAAGTGATGTGTCGGATGCTGTAGTTGGTTTTAGCCTACCCTGTTACTTCTGTGCATCAATGTTCTGTTGATGAAACAATGGCGGCGCCAAAGCAGTATCAGCCATCGCTCCATGCGCAAGTTAGCAGTCGTCGATCTTTAAAACAGTTGTTGAAGTTGTGTAGATCGACTTCAGTGCCCCAGAATATCCCATATAACCAGTTCTGTCTCTGCGGCAGGGCTATCTGAGCGTCGCACAAAGCACCAGCGTCCTAGCTCCAGCGACGATCCACGCAGTCAGTGAATCAAACCCTCAACCTTCACAACGGAGAACCTCCCCGACCAGCGCGAAAGACCCCCCTCGACCAGCACAACCCCCTCCCCACCCCATCCACAAAGGACCCGACATTTCTACAAGCCAGCTTACCTACAGGTGGCCAGTTGGATCTCACAGGCAGAACTGTCCCTGTGTAATTGCGCCCGGTGTGTCAGTAATGAAATCCCCTTCACCCCGTGTTAGCTCTGCGAATTCAACCACGGAATCAAACATCCGTGACCGTCTTGGACTAATTATTTCGTTAATATTTAGTGCGGTCTGGAGAAAACTACTTCCGGCTGCAGTATCTCTACATTAATCAGTTCCAGTTGTCCATACTTAAATTGTCCCAATATGGGCTCCGGGACCCCATTTCGGAGAGAAAAAGAATAGACCCTATGCCCGCTCCCCCTTTCTCCAAGTTACTTGCGTATTCTTTACAGGACGTTGCAAAACCAACCTTAGCATTTTTTGGCGGTTGTGGTTTTTCTATGCAAATTTTACTTCCAGTAGTTTAGCATTACTTTGGGTAGATTGTTAGCTCCAAATTTTGCACAGGCATCGCCATTAGGCTACTCTTTTCGATTTCCAACTGCCAAGGGATTTTTGTTACGTGCTCAACAATACACACGGGCGTCAGATCTTAGAAGTCGCAGTGCATTTGCCCCAAAGACGAGGAACCAGCCATCTCTCTACATGTAACCTAGATCTGTAAAACAGATGTGCATGCAAAAATCAAGTTCCAGAACAGGGCTCAAGTCCAGAAATGGACGAACAACCAAAAATGTCCGCCACCGTTTACAACCAGTGAACGCGAAAAAGAAGATGAAGAGAGTTAAGGTGCACGACGTAGACAACTTGTTTCTAGCCCTAGAATGATGCACCCACGTTGCGATCATCGAATTTCTCAGATAGCCAGGGTGGGCTTGAGAACTGTATCATGTAATTATCTCGTAATGATTGATAGAAGGTATCAGTGCTTACGTTTGAAGGTAGAACTGTGGAGGAGGCGGTTTCTGGCGCAGGGTGTGCTAGGTCGAATACAGGGATAACTAATCTCGTTCTGTGCACAGTTTTGGTTTTCTTAGTCCTGGAGGGATAAATATCTATCGCGGGTTATTTTCAATTTGATTTATTTATTGTTCATTTGTTTAACTAATTCAAATTTCTTCCCTTCTTTTCACATCGCCTTGTTTATTTTGTTTTGAATTATAACCTTCCTATTTATACCCCCCCCCCCCCTTCCCATTATATACTTCTTTGGTTCGTGTTAGCCTTAGTTTTTTTTATTAGCTGTGTTGTCTTGCCCGTTGTGCTGTATTTAATGTTCGGTTGATAAAGACTTTGGTCGAAACTTTCGGTTGTGTTTTTTGTTTGCGTCTTTTCCATTCCCTCCTTTGAGCTTTTTTAGTCTCATATATTAAGCAGGTGTTTGATTGAAGACATGGGTGGGGGATGAGGGATTTTCACTGAGCGCACACGAAATAATTCGCGTTGAATAGGACAAACGTTGAGAAAATCCAGATACATAGTCACATAACTAGAATGTTCTTTGACTGGAATTCACTAGGTAAAAGAAAACAGAAAGTTTCCGGGACTTGTTCCCGGATGATTCTCATCGGAATAGTGGCACTTCGTGTTACTGGATCTTTATCGCTCATGACGTGGTACTGGTGAAGTTGAACTTCACTGGCTCATCCATCAGTCAGTCTAGGGATGGGTGTCAGTAACCGAATGAGAGAACGAACATTTACCACAACAAACACACGCCTTGCTAATTTCCCGCACATGTTGTCGTTTCTCGCACCTGCTGTAAACTCTAGCGGGGACAATTGCTCACAGCTGTGTATCTATCTATCTATCTATCTATCTATCTATCTATCTATCTATCTATCTATCTATCTATCTATCTATCTATCTATCTATCTATCTATCTATCTACCTTACACATTTTATAAGTAACATGAGAGGGAGGGGGGGGGGGTGGGAAGCTGACTGACTGACTGACTTTCTACCACACCAGGACATCACACAAGCGATAAACACCCGATGACACAAAGTGCCACCATGCGGATTAGGATCGCTGTGGAGAGGTCCCAGAAACCGCGTTCAGACATTTGGCCATATGTATGGCCTGCCTATATTGCGGCCCCTGGCAAAAGCCAGAGTAGGTCTTCAAATGACAAATTTCGTCCTAAAAAGGACGAAATTGGATATATATGCCATGGCGACCTCTTGCTGTCACATCGGATCTTTTCCTGTGCAGCGGCGGCGTCAATGGTTGTTTTGACTGCTATCTGAAGAGATGACCAAACCATTTTATCTGGTGTTTCTCAATGAATTTGGTATTGTAGCCTGCCTGATAGTAAAAAAAATTGCATTGTTCGTTCTTTGCGTGTCGCTAGCATCAAGCTTGTGTGGGCAGTGTGTTGCTAGCATCAAGCTTGTGTGGGCAGTGTGTTGCTAGCATCAAGCTTGTGTGCGCAGTGTGTTGCTAGCATCAAGCTTGTGTGTTGCTAGCATCAAGCTTGTGTGCGCAGTGTGTTGCTAGCATCAAGCTTGTGTGGGCAAGTATATTGCAAGCATCAAGCTTGTGTGGGCAAGTGTGTTGATATCATCAAGCTTGTGTGGGCAAGTGTTTTGAGGACAGGAGCACACGC